TGATCAGCTGGATCTACCCTTGCTTGCAGTTATGATGAATGATGATGATGATGATGATGATGATGATATTACGATGCAAAACCTCAATAGCTGCTAAAATAAACTAGTGGTTGTACCACACTTCCTTGCATTATTGGTAATGCCTATGCAATATCATAATTCAAAGTAAAAGTGTTTCCAACCAGCAGTTCTTCTTTTCCATTCTGGAAACTAGCACTGAATTTCTGTTGATGACAGTGTTAATTTCAGATAATTATCACAAAATGATGAAATAAAATTACTCAATTAAATTGCTCTTCAAAGTGGTACTGACTTCCAACTCAATTTCCATTACTTTCCAAGAATTTGAACATTTTATCAGTATTTATCATTAGCTAAGAACTAACAATGATATTGGATCTTAGAATTAAGAAGATTCTTACCAGTCTCAAGGCAACGCCTCAAATTGAGAAGAGAATGAAAGCTCAGAGAAGCAACATGAGGTCGACCCCAACGATCTGCACCTTCCTCCACATCTTCCTCATACTTGATCCATCTTGCAGTTTCCTTCCATTCTCGCTCTTCTCCTTCTCCTTGAAGCTCATCAAGTTGCACAAACACCTATTCGCAATGGTAACATATAATTTATTGCATGTGTTTCTCAAATTTACAGAAAAGAAAAGAAAAGAAAAGAAAAGAAAAGAAAAAAAAAAAAAATTAAAATATTTACTATAATTATGTGCCCTGTGATTAGGTTGAGATGTAATTGTAATTTTAACTTTGCAGCCCAATACAAAAAATTAAGTACTCCAAAACAAAAATAAAACAACAATGATAATTTTGTTGATCTGAAACTATGATAATGGAACCACACCTGAGTGGCTCAATGCAACATACTCTATAATTTTATCGATAATGTTGAATACTTAAAATCTAAAAACCAAGGGATTCCAATTCTGAAAATAGTCCAATTACCACAGAATACCAGTCATTTTTGTAGTTCATATAATTGCCAGACAAAATCACTTCCATCAAAATTTAAATTAACAAGAAATATTTCCTCCACACTTTCGTAAGCAAAACCTGTCATAAATATTCAAAATAAAATAGTAGAACTATTAATAAACAATCTCATACTCCAAATATGTTAAATATTACTAGCTGAATACTTTTGAACGTTCTGTTTGTTTTAAAAATGAAAATAAGCTACATACTGGTCAGAACATGAACTGTACACTCAAGCATTGTATGCCTGTCATGACAGGACTTAGTCAATTTAATATTACATAGATTTCTAGTTTCCGACCACCTTGTTATGGAGTAGGGGTCACCAGAAAATATAAATCTTCAGACAATTCTTTGCTCCACCTCACCCCAGCATTTTGGCGTACTTGCTCCCTGATGTATTCCCCTCGCATGGTCTCTGCATGTTCACCATATGTTCTCTCTCATATTCATCATGTTTCCAGCATGTATCCCAGCAAGTAACTCCATACAATTTTCCCACATGATCCTTTGTTTCCTCACATGTTGAACACAAAATCCTAAATGTTCCTCAAATGTTCTCACAAAAGGTCCCTCAAATGTTCTCCCAAAGCATTTTTGGGAATCTGTACTACACAGTGACAAAACCATGAAACAATGTAATAGAACATTCAAAAAGGTCTCATTTGGTACATCATGGTACAGAAAACCTAACTTGTCTCTCATAGAAACACTAAAAAGACTCAAAGGATACATCATTTCTGAGGTATGCATGATCACTGAGTGTGAGGTGACAAAATGTGTTTTGCGGTTTGCACCCGTGCTAGATCATTCAAATATGGTCCATTAGCAAACTTCGAAGTTTTTCATCTTATACCTCTTTAATGCACTGGGGGAGGGGTATTCAATTAGTAATACACTTTACGAGTTTTGTGCCCATGGTTTCTTATAAGACAGAAAAATCTGCCAACTTTCCTTAGCATATACAGAATTTCATTAAAACAAATTTATTTTGTCCTGTAAATATTTGTTTCATTATTAATAAACCATTCCCAAGTATTACTAATTTTCTCAAAAACAACAAATACAGCAAACCATGTTGTTTGTGAATATATTTGTAAGAAAATATTTAATATCATAAATATATTTGAAAATATTATTATCGAGTATACAGATATATTCGACAATAGTAAAATCAATAATAATAATAATATTAACAATAATAATAACAAAAACAATAACTAGCGTACTTATCTGAGAATTCTAGCATGTTAAACCTCACCATCCTTCCATTTCCATGTGAAGCCCATAATATATCTCTTTCTTCAAGATCCTCTGTCACTTATTCTATACGTCTCCTTGTAATTGTACTAACTGAACATAATTTAACATAAAACTAAAATACACCCTTGTCAATAGAAACTATGTTTATTTAACTTTATTACTGAAAAGAGAGGTACAACTATGCAATTCAGTCACATACAATATTAAGCAATTAGTTGAATTTCACATAAATTGCAGATTGGACCCTGAGGCCTTTAGACTCAAAATTCCAGGTTTTAGAGCTCTAGAATGCATTATTTTGGAGTTATGTAACTATATAGATTTCAACAATCCTGTCTGAGTATTGCCGGTTGCATTTGACATGAATATTTAGTGTTGCTTTTTTTCCAACAAATCCTTCATATTATTAAAGTAAATGTGCAATTTATCAAGTCTCCATGAAATTCTCATTCGTTAGAGACCTTATATATAAAGACTGGTTGCGTATGAGAGCCCCAAAACTCATCTATGCTACTGAAATAATATTGGAACAGATAATTTTAAAATGATAATTAATAACAACAACAGTAATAATAATAATGATGATGATGATGATGATGGTGATGTACAAATTCCATTATCAAAAACAGCATATTTACAAAAATTAATAAAGAATCTAAAAATGTTTTAATAGTTTTTACCTCATGAGGACTATGGTCAAACATCTTCTTATATGCTTGAAGAGGTAAAACTGATTGCAAAGGCTCTGTTCCATCTTTACGGCCAATATGAATAACAGATGATGATGATGACTTGGCCTGAATTTTATATCGTCGCAATCCTTTAGCATCATCAAAGCGATGACCTTAAAAATGAGAAAAGTGGCTTATATTTTGTAATCTTCAATTATACATTTCAAAAAGCAATGCATGCCCAGCATGCAGTATGGTAGCTTATCAATGAGGAAGTAAAGTGCATATTATATCAGGAACCTTTGAAGAAACAATATGAACTTTCCCATGGGGAATATGGTATTTAAAAAATGGAACAAAAATTGGTTTGCACCATTTAAAAAGCAACTAGCATTAAAGGGAAAATAGCACAGCACTTAAGTATGCTTCTACAAGGACAAAAAATTTAAATACTTTATTCTTACTTGGAGGACACATACAACTGTTAGCTTGAAAGAGAAATAAAATATTTCATGGGAATGAAATTATGGACAGTACTGCAGGAATCAATTTTTATGTCTAAGGGAAACTTATACTTAATCTGTAAAGGAAAATGGAATTCTTGTTGTTTTAAAAATAGTCTAAAATTTAAAATGCTAAAAAATTATACTTACTGGCCAAGTCATCCAAATCATGTTCTTGAAGATCAGGTCCTTCATCAGGTTGGATACTGATTCGACGTGTTTCGCTTACACCAAATTCAGAACCAGATCTTATCCTCCACTGAGGGTCTTCTTGCAAGCTATATTTTCGAGATCTATGGTGATGATGATGATGATGTCGGCTGGGAAAATCAATGATGGTTTATAAACACACATGCATAAATGTTTAATTTACTTTGGTTTAATGTCTGTGTATGTAGTTTACACGACAATCTCTAATTATTCAGTGGACAATGAAAATACTCGTTACTGCTGTCCACCATTGAACTTAAGTAAAATATACACAGAGGTGACAAAAGTCATGGGATACCTCCTAATATCGTTTCGGATATCTTTTTGCCCGGCAAAATGCTGCAACTCGACATGGCATGAACTCTACAAGTCATTGGGTCCTCTTCAGAAATATAGAGCCATGCTGCTTCTATAGCCGTTCATAATTGCGAAAGTGTTGCTGGTGCTGGATTTTGTGCACGAACTGACCTCTCGATTATGTCACATAAATGTTCGATGGGATTCACGTCGGATAATCTGGGTGGCCAAATCATTCGCTCGGATTGTCCAGAATCTACTTCAAACCAATTGTGGCCCGGTGACATGGAGCATTGTCATCCATAAACAATTCCATCGTTGTTTGGGAACATGAGGTCCATGAATGGCTGCAAATGGACTCCGAGTAGCAAAACAAGGCACTGCAGGCGATGTCGTGCTGTTAGCAAACGTACTCGAGTCGGTCTTCTTCTGTACCCCATTAGAGCCAAATTTCGCCGCACTGTCTTAACGGATACGTTCGTCGCACTCTTCACACTATGGATCTCCGTATACTGAATTCGCTAATTATTTTCGAATTCGAATGTCCCATGCGTCAAGCTCCAACTTATAATCCGCGTTCAAAGTCTATTTACTCCTGTCGTGCGGCCATAATCACTACAGAAAACATTTCCACGCCAGAAACACTGGACTGTCTCTTATTTTTTGATTTCGATATTTTTGAAAGATAACCCTCCAATTTTGTTCGAATGACCTTAAAACATGACTATACAAAATTTAGTTGAGATCGGAGTATTCTAATCCGTGCCGACTTGATCGCGAACTCGCAAGACAGAAGTCCAGACCTTACCACCCACCACTCAGTCAGGCCCAAGACCAACAGTACATGAATTTTTAATCGATCGTGTCATACGTGTTTACAGGTCGCTAATCAAACACAATGTCATGGGTTAGTGTCATATGCAGTGCCGCGATATATGCGTTTTTAATAGGAGATAATATTATTTATTTATTTACGTCAAAAACTGTTAAAACTGTGTGTGACAAGCTATGGAGAGAAGTTAATTTCAAGTTACATTTATGTCCATAAGCAAAACAAGGGGCCATCTCAGCTCTCATTTGCTCGAGGATCAAGGAAACTGGACGAAAACCTGATTGAAATGGGGGTCATTGACCCAGAAGCTGAAGTACAATATTTGTTACAGAATCTTTACAATTATACAACCCAAATGATATATAATACATTAAATGCCATTGTTAAAATTAATATTACTTTCCTTTTGAATGCTCGGTATAGTCTCTAATTGTATAGAGACTATATATATATAAACAGTTGTGCAGCAGAAAACATTTTCCTTGGGACTTAAATGTTTGTATCGAATTCAATCGTTTAATGTCATCTGGCAAGGTGTTGTAAAATAATGTACATGTATTATACGTGAATCTTTTGTAGTGAGCTGTTGATACTCTTACCTGATGAATATGATTACTACGTCGAGTGTTGTAGTTATAGACAACGGCGTTTGATGAAAATATATTCCCGCCCTTTAGTAAGTCATTTTTGACAAAAACCACTGATTCATACATGAAGAGACAAGGTAATGGTAAAATACCTAGATGTATAAAGGGAGGCATACACGAATCACGTGGGTGGGATTTACTTATTATTCGAACAATTCGTTTTTGTAATCTAAAAGTCTGAGAACTATACGATGTATTTCCCCAGAATATTATGCCATATTTCAGGCGGGAATAAACATTCCCGAAATATACACAACGAGCAGTGTGCAGGCTGACTGAATTCGAAAGAATTCTAAAAGCGTAGCATAAAGAACTGAATTTAGTGTTCAATTCATTTAAATGGACGTTCCATTTAAGGTTTGACTGAATTGAAAGACCTAAAAAGTTTGTTACCTTAACATCAGCCAATGGCACACCGTTCATTTTCAGTGAAGTGTCGAGCTGTTTATTTGAAATGGGGAACTGCATTGAAACAGTTATCAAGTCACGGCAACTATTTCGTTTTCTACAATAAATACTATCGGATCCCATAATTTTATTTATCGCGCGAAAGAAATGAAATAATAGTTTGTGGTAACAACAACAGGCTGTTCTTTGAATGCGCCTATTAGCATGGAGAGCAATGTGAAATCAGTTTCTGACTACTGCCGTGCGAGATAAATGTAACCCTGTCGAACAACACTCCAACATCAGGGCAGCCGTTCTCCGTCGAAGAAATGCTCTAGGATGTCATAGGAGATTGGTGGAAGCTGTTGAGAATAATGCCCTTCCATACCGGACAGTCACCAGGAGAGTAACAGCGAGGACGCGTGCAACCTGTAACCAGCAGCGCACGGGGCCTACGAGTGTACGGACCTATGTGGCACGTGCAACAATCGAGTATCTGATGTATGGAAACACCCGATGGAAGCCACTGGAGTCAAAGAGCGACAGTGGTATCGAGAAACGCACACTCGCAGGTTGTCCCGTGCGTTGCTGATCACAGGTTGCTTGCTACGCGTCCACGCTGAAACTCCCTTGGCTAGTTACCAGCTGTCCTATTTAGCAGGACATGTCCGTTTAGTTAGCAATTGTCCTGGCGTACGTACTTATTTTCCCAAATCTGTAAATTGTCCGTATTTTCGTGTTAGAAATAGCGATTGCATTTTCACGCATTGTAAACTATTTTTTAAGCCTAAAAATACAATTGCTTACTTTCGTTACTGCAATCTTTTTGACATTAAGGTAGTGTACCGAGTGCCAACGCTGCATCGGGGTTCTCAGCATGTTAAACATCCATAGTTTCTTTTTGTCTGAGCTTCGTATCGCACCCCTTATCTACGAAGCCGTGAGCGTATATTACTATGAGGATTTTAAATTTTACAGTTAGACTGGTAGAAATAAACAGGAAGAAACAAGCCACTAAGACCATGCGTGACTCAAAATAAAGAGTATCAATTTCAGCATAGTTTACGCATGAATGAAACAGTACTTGGTGTTCCCTAAATAGTTTAGAAAGCAGGGTATTTAGTTACAAAACCCGGAACGTAAGTATGTTACTAGCTGTTGTTTAATATGTTCTGCTTTTGTCCTACATTTTAAAGTCATTTGTTCACCTTTACACCGTTTCTCCGCTGCTAACCCTACTCATGGCTATCTCGTGACTGTCCAGTATGGAAGGGTATTATTTCCAACAGCTTCCACCAATTTCATGTGAAATTCTAAGGCATTTCTTCCACAGCTAACGGCTGTATTGTAGGAGCGTTGTTCGAAAGGGTTACATTCAACTCGCACGGCGGTAGTCAGAAACTGATTTCACATTGCTCTCTGAGCTAATAGAACACTCGATGAACCGCATGTTGTTAAAACACACTAGTACTGCGTTTTTTTCACGCGACAAATAAAATTATGTGATCCGATAATATTTCGTTAAAAAAATAGTTGGCATGACTTGTGACCCAACCCTCGTATTGCTTTATAGTATATCCTAATAACACTTCAAGTATCATTCGAAAAAATTAATCTAAAATATAACTCAAAATTACCAGAAAACAAATAATATTTGAAAAAGTATAAGCGAAATGTTTTTAGATCTAATATTAGAAAATAGATGGTATTACGAAAGAAATCTAAAACTTCAATATTAAGGGTGAACGAAAGGTTCGAAAATAGGGGGTTCAAATATGACCGGGATTGATTTTTTTTCAAATACTCCGCCATGCGCATTAACTGCGCCGCCTGGAGAGAATCTAGCCACAACCCCCCACCTCCCTCCTTTGCAGGTTAGAACCTGTTCAGTCGTGTCTGGGTCTTGCTAGAACGATGAGTGAACAAAAGGTGCCGCGGTACGTGGAACAACGCATTATCATCAAATTTCTCGTTGGAGAAAAAGTTCAACCGTCGGAAAGCTTGCAGAGACTCAAAAAACAGTACAGGGAAGAGTGCCTCTCACGGACCCGTGTGTTTGAATGGTGTAAGTGTTTCAGAGAGGGACGAGAGCGCGTTGAGAATGAACCTCATAATCGTCGGCCGCGAACATCCATAACCCCAACAATCATTGATCGTGTTAATGCGGTTATTTGTGAAAACAGGCGCATCACTATCAAAGAAGTTGCATCAGTAATTGGCATCAGTGTGGGTAGTGTAGAAGACATGATAAAAAAACACCTAAAATATAGAAAAGTGAATGCTAGGTGGGTTCCACGCACTTTGACGGACGAGAACAAATTGATGCGCATGCAAGCCGCCAGTGTTCTTCTAATGCGGTTTAAAAATAAAGGAGATGCATTTTTGAAGTCCATTGTAACCACTGATGAAACGTGGGTTCACTACTTTATTCCTGAGTTCCAGCAGGCATCACGTGAATGGCGACACGCATCTTCTCCAAAACCCAAGAGAGCGCGGAAGATCCGTTCGGCGGGAAAAGTGATGGCAACATTTTTTTGGGACTGGAAGGGTGTTATCCATGTAGACTTTCTTACAGAAGCTAACACCATTAATGCAGCTTATTATTCAGCACTTTTGGAAACAGAAATCAAAGAAAAGATCCGATCCAAACGGAAGAGAGGTGGGAAACGGGTAGCATTCCTTCAAGACAATGCACGGCCTCATACTGCTAAAACAACCATGGCAACCATCAGCAAATTGAAGTGGGACCTTCTACCACATCCGCCGTACAGTCCAGATTTGGCCCCAAGTGATTTTTACCTGTTTGGACAGCTTAAATCACATTTGCAAGGCATGCGATTTGCGGATAATGACGCAGTCATCCACAGTGTTCGGGACTGAATATGCCGACAACCAAAAGACTTTTATGAAAAGAGCATTAGGATGCTCCCAGAACGTTGGAAAAAAT